GCAATCATGACCTTGCATAAAAGATTCACTGGAAACAGACGAATAATATTCCAGAGCCAGAATTCCATCACCCTTATAATAAGCATCCGGCAACTGGAAATCCTTCAACTCACACACCATCCCTAATCGTCTGGTGTTTTATGTCTTGTTCATGCAAGAATGAGAGTGTCTCTAAAATATTTTAGCCAGTCCTTGTATCTTGGAAATCACTAATTATATGACAGTCTCTTTGTAATGTCTACTGTGATAGCTAATAAACCACTAATTTTGACAATGAAAATTCACTTTTGACATATGTTGTAGAATGCTTTTTGCTATTAATAGAGATAAGAGTGACAGATGTACTTGTAGTACCCACCTCTATCGGGGTCTGCCTGATGAGACCACTACCTGCCATCTTAGAATATGAATTTATGATTACTGCACCTGACTATACCTTGAGTGTAATTTAACCTAAGCCATACAAAATATGCTGTCTATATTGAAGAATTTTGAGGTCTGTTGGCAGATATCATACTGATAATAATATCTGCAAAGAACACCTAAGGCACTTTCTTCCCCCCACCGCCCCTGCCTTGTGAGAATTATATCCTTATATTACAGATGTAGAAAATAAAGGTCAGGCCAGGCACAATGGCTCACATCTATAATGCAGCACATTGGGAGGTCAAGGTGGGAGGATTGTTTGAGCCCAGGAATTCAAAGTTGCAATGAACTATGATCACCCCACTGCACTTCAGCCTGGGTGACAGAGCGAGACCCTATCTCAAAAAAATAGAAAGTAAGTAAATGAAGTTCACAGAGAGGTTATATTGCAGGTCAAAAGCAGGGAAATGGTAGTAAAATTTAGATTTGAGTCCAGACTATTTCTACCATACTAGGATGACCATAAATTCTGGTTTCCCTGTAACCAGATTTACATCATTTTCATGGTATCTGTATTAGTCCATTTTCATGCTACTGATAAAGGCAGACCCAACACTGGGAAGAAAAAGAGCTTTAATGGGCTTACAGTTCCACATGGCTGGGGAGGCCTCACAGTCACAGCAGAAGATGAGGAGGAGCAAGTCACGTCTTACATGGATGGCGCTGGCAAAGTGAGAAAGAGAGCTTGTGCAGGGGAGCCCCTCTTTTTAAAACTATCAGATCTTTTGAGACTTATTCACTATTTCAAGAACAGTATGAGAAAGACTCGCCCCCATGATTCAATTATCCCCCACTGGGTCCTTCCCAAGACGCGTGGGAATTGTGAGAGCTAAAATTCAAGATGAAATTTGGGTGGGGACACAGTCAAGTCATATCAGTATCCTATCTGACTAGTGCCCCCTTTCATTTTCAAAAATGTCCCAATTTAAACAATAAAAATGTGATCACACAAACTTTACTACATTGCCTCCAAAATCCAAGACCTTCGTCCCCCAACTGTGTCAGAGTCTATCAAGCGTAGGAACAAGACACAGCAGTGTTTCTGGCCTGGCCTCTTCTTGCCCCATCACACTATTCTGAATATAAGGGAGAAAAAAAAAAACCCACAGTATACTTAGGTGGCAAAATCTAGGCAAAGAAATTCCTGATTACAGGAAATATAAGTCTCCTCTATTAATAAGAAAGGTATAATCATGAGTCCCCCCAAAATTGGAAAGACTATCCCAAAATTTAATGAAGATTATAGGAGGAAAATTAAGAGCAATATTGAAATTAGGCTATGTTTCCAACCAACCATGTCTGCCCACTTGACTAAATTTGGTGTCTGTTTCCATTTATATTTACCCTAGAACACTGGAGGGGAAAATAGTTTTGCACCCAAATTTTACCATGTTTAGGTATAAGATAAAAGTCATACTGTGATATAGAATTAGATTTATTAGTCAACCATGGAAACAAGCTGAAAAACACCTCTCTTATTTGCACTGAAAGTTTACTCAAAAAGCATTCCTTTTTCAGGCAAATCCAGAATCCCTTATCACTGCCATGTCCTTTTCCTGAAATTATAAAGACAGCTGTCCATGGATGTGTATGAGTTGGGAAATACTGGCCTTTCCTCAGCTGAGGGTTCGCCATGGCAGAGACATGCTGCCCTGTGACCAAGTCATGAGCAAGCCTTTAGAACTAAGAAGTGCTATTGTGTAGGCAAAAGCAGCCCTCTGTCTGCATCATCCCATGACTGGTTATATATACTGTATTTATGCCAATCAGAGACTACTGCTCCATTGTTTTCCATGCCCCCCCCCCCAACACCCGATAGTTTATTTTTTGAAGCTTCTGCACCAAGGTTAAGATGCAGCCACTGATGTTTTCTTGCCACCTCTGGCATTGCCTGAGGTCTTGCTAGCGTTGGGCTCTCACAGTGATTGGCCCCATGGCAGAATAAGAACACCTGAAGAGGTCAGCACAGCCAGCTAGACAGCCTGGAATTATCTGATTAAAGTTAATTCTAGTCCAGGCACAGTGGCTCATGCCTGTAATCCCAGAAATTTGGGAGGCCAAGGCAGGCAGATAACCTGAGATTAGGAGGTCGAGACCAGCCTGCTCAACGTGGCAAAACCCCCATCTTTACTAAAAATACAAAAAAAATTAGCCAGGCATGGTGGCATATGTCTGTAATCCCAGCTACTTGGGAGGCTGAGGCAGGAAGATCACTGAGCCCAGGAGACAGGTTGCAGTAAGCCAAAGTCGCACCACTGTACTCCAGCCTGGACAATACAGTGAGACTCCATCTCAAAATTAATTAATTAATTAGTTAATTAATTAATTCTTTGCATTTACCTTAGGTGTGGTTAGATCCAATCTCCTTCTTTAAATTCCAGGAGTTTTGGAGAAGGCAGAGGAAGATCAAGAGAAGGAGACAATCACAGATTAAGATTGTTTGCCACAGTCTGGGAAGGGAAATAAGTCTTGTGAGTAGGGAACACTAAAAGGGATAGGGCACTACATGTGTGGAATTTACACCTATTGATTGTAACTCACAATCTCATGCACAATAAACATCCTTTCTAAAGACTGAGAAGCATAAAAAATTTTCTAGTAAAATTGTTTCTTAAAGATATTCATTTCAAAGGATCAAAACGCACTGTAGGAATGTCTTTAGAAAAGTGTCAATTTGTGCAGAGATTATTTTAGGGAAGACTATTCTGTGTAAATGGTTGTGAAAATGCAACATTTAGTTGTGGGTTGCCAAATCAATAAATATATTTGGAGCATTTAATAAATATTTATTGAATCAATAAATACAATTCCTGAAAGAGATGTGGATAATTTACTGGTGATGCCACCTTTAAAAACTTCAGCATGGGTCCAGGCATGTTGGCTCATGCCTGTAATCCCAGCACTTTGGGAGGCCAAGGTAGGCGGATCACAAGGTCAAGAGATCAAGACCATCTGGCCCATGTGGTGAAACCCCATCTCTACTGAAAATACAAAAATAGCTGGGTGTGGTGGCACATGCCTGTAGTCCCAGCTACTCGGGAAGCTGAGGCAGGAGATACACTTGAACCTGGGAGGCAGAGATTGTAGTGAGCTGAGATTGCACCACTGCATTCCAGCCTGGTGACAGAGCAAGACTCCATCTCAAAAAAAAAAAAGCTTCAGCATACAGATTAGTAGCATGTAGAAAACATAGCACAATTTATAATGAAATGTATTTATAAAATGTATTAAATTTGTAAAATGTATTTAAGTCTTACCCACATCTTGATAATACCCACAAGGCATCTGAATTTCACTCTGTCTCCTAGGCTGGAGTGCAGTAATGCAATCTCAGCTCACTGCAATCTCTGCTTCCTGGGTTCAGTTGATTCTCCTGCCTCAGCCACCATGCCTGGCTAATTTTTGTATTTTTAGTAGAGACAGGGTTTCACCATGTTGACCAGGCTGGTCTCAAACTCCTGACCTCAGGTGATCCACCCACCTTGGCCTCCCAAAGTGCTGGTATTACAGGCATGAGCCAACACGCCCAGTCCATTTTTTCTTAACCTAATAAATGAGTGTCAGGGTCTGACTTGCAGACCCTGACCCAGCAACAGATGAAAAAAATTCACTCAGACACAGAATACAGTGAAAGAGTGGGCTGGGGTGTCCTTGGCCACTCACAGACACTTCTGAGAGAGACAGCTGCCACAGCCCTGACCAGTTGGCACTCAGGACATTTATTCAGTATAGATTAATAACAGAGGCTCTGAGTCAACACACTTATGGGTAATTATCAAAGGCCAGGTTCCGAGGCCTAAGGCAAGCACCATTTGTGAGTGATACATCTGGTCGCCCTCCCGCCAAGTAGAAAGCAATCGTGTAACAGCTGATGGTCAAAGGTTAGTCTTAGGACCACATGAGTAAACCACTTACTTAGATAAACTCCCTTACATTCCTTTGTTATTTACTCTTGCTAGTCACTCAAAGAGGATTAGGCTGCCTTCAGCAATAACTTTATCCTGAGGCTTTTACAAAACCTTCTGGCCTTCCAAGAAAGTCTGTGACTATTTTCTATAACTTCCTTTATAATTTCTCTTACAACTTTTCCTACCACTCTGACTGAACTCCCACAAATGAGCATCACCTGTCCAGTACCTTCTTCTTCTTAAGGTTGTATGAAAATGGTGGCTATTGTCTAATAGTCCTAACAGCATTCCTGGTGCTTTATGTGTATACTTTATTTTCATTTTCTAACAATTCTCTAGGGTAAGTTCTAATACAATTTGCATTTTCCAGATGAGGAAAGTGAGGCAGCAAGAGGCCCTCAGGCTCCCAGCCATTAAGTGGTACAGCGAAGTTTAAAACCCCTGCAGTCCAGCTGCAGATGCAGCATTTGACCAGCCAGTGCCCTGCCTCACAAATAACTTTCTAAGATTTAGCATACTCCCTACCACCTGATTGCCTACAACAAAAGCTGTAATGTACTTAAATATTTAATATGCCACACTTGCATTGGAAAATATTACAATTTATACCACTTGTAACAACATTTGACCTACAAGACATTTATGTTACCTTCAAATGAGTTCAAATTTTTTTTTTTTTTTTTCTCATTAAACTTTTTTAATGGGTCTCAAAATTCTGTGACAAATTTTTGGTCGTTTCCATTAAAAAGTACTGATTTTAAAAACTAATAACTTAAAACTGCCACAAGCAAAAAAGAAAACCAAAGTGGTCCACAAAACATTCTCCTTTCCTTCTGAAGGTTTTACGATGCATTGTTATCATTGACCAGTCTTTTACTACTAAACTTAAATGGCCAATTGAAATAAACAGTTCTGAGACCGTTCTTCCTCCACCACTGATTAAGACTGAGGTGGCAGGTATTAGGGATAATATTCATTTAGCCTTCTGAGCTTTCTGGGCAGACTTGGTGACCTTGCCAGCTCCAGCAGCCTTCTTGTCCACTGCTTTGATGACACCCACAGCAACTGTCTGTCTCATATCACGAACAGCAAAGCGACCGAGAGGTGGATAGTCTGAGAAGCTCTCAACACACATGGGCTTGCCAGGAACCATATCAACAACGGCAGCATCAGCAGACTTCAAGAATTTAGGGCCATCTTCCAGCTTTTTACCAGAACAGCGATCAATCTTTTCCTTCAGCTCAGCAAACTTGCAGGCAATGTGAGCCGTGTGGCAATCTAGTACAGGGGCATAGCCAGCACTGATTTGGCCTGGATGGTTCAGGATAATCACCTGAGCAGTGAAGCCAGCTGCTTCCATTGGTGGGTCGTTCTTGCTGTCACCAGCAACGTTGCCACGACGAACATCCTTGACAGACACATTCTTGACATTGAAGCCCACATTGTCCCCAGGAAGAGCTTCACTCAAAGCTTCATGGTGCATTTCAACAGATTTCACTTCAGTTGTAACGTTGACTGGAGCAAAGGTGACCACCATACCAGGTTTGAGAACACCAGTCTCCACTCGGCCAACAGGAACAGTACCAATACCACCAATTTTATAGACATCCTGGAGAGGCAGGCGCAAGGGCTTGTCAGTTGGACGAGTTGGTGGTAGGATGCAGTCCAGAGCCTCAAGCAGCGTGGTTCCACTGGCGTTGCCATCCTTACGGGTGACTTTCCAACCCTTGAACCAAGGCATGTTAGCACTTGGCTCCAGCATGTTGTCACCATTCCAACCAGAAATTGGCACAAAAGCTACTGTGTCGGGGTTGTAGCCAATTTTCTTAATGTAAGTGCTGACTTCCTTAACGATTTCCTCATATCTCTTCTGGCTGTAGGGTGGCTCAGTGGAATCCATTTTGTTAACACCAACAATTAGTTGTTTCACACCTAGTGTGTAAGCCAGGAGGGCATGCTCTCGGGTCTGCCCGTTCTTGGAGATACCAGCTTCAAATTCACCAACACCAGCAGCGACAATCAGGACAGCACAGTCAGCCTGAGATGTCCCTGTAATCATGTTTTTGATGAAGTCTCTGTGTCCTGGGGCATCAATGATAGTCACGTAGTACTTGCTGGTCTCAAATTTCCACAAGGAGATATCAATGGTGATACCACGTTCACGCTCGGCTTTCAGTTTATCCAAGACCCAGGCATACTTGAAGGAGCCCTTTCCCATCTCAGCAGCCTCCTTTTCAAATTTTTCAATGGTTCTTTTGTCGATGCCACCGCATTTGTAGATTAGATGGCCAGTAGTGGTGGACTTGCCCGAATCTACATGTCCAATGACGACAATGTTGATATGAGTCTTTTCCTTTCCCATTTTGGCTTTTAGGGGTAGTTTTCACGACACCTATGTTCTGGCGGCAAACCCGTTGCGAAAAAGCCAAAATTTCTTTAAATTAATACCACTTGTAACAACTTGTACCACTTGTACAACATTTGACCTACCACTTGTAACCACTTGTAACAACGTTTGACCTACAGGACAGTTACATTACCTTCAAATGAGTTCAAAATTTCTTTAATTTTATTTTTTCTTTTAATTTTTAAATGTTATGTCTTCTATTTTTTTTTCTGTGCCTCAGTGGATGCAAAGACTTTTTTTTTTAATATTAAGAAATATCATTTGGGTGTGGTGGCTCACATCTGTAATCCCAACACTTTGGGAGGCTGAGATGGGCAGATCACTTGAGATCAGGAGTTTGAAACCAGCCTGGCCAGCATGGCAAAACCCTTTCTCCACTAAATGTACAAAAATTAGCCGGGCATGGTGGCAGGTGTCTGTAGTCTGAGCTCCTCGGGAGTCTGAGGCAGGAGTAATCACTGGAACCCAGGAGGCAGAGGTTACAGTGAGCCAAGATTGTGCCACTGCTCTCTGGCCTGGACAACAGAGTGAGTCTTCATCTGAAAGAAAGAAAGAAAAGGAAGAAAAAGAAAGAAAGGAAAGAAAAAGAGAGAGAGAGAGAGAAATGAAAGAAAGAGAGAGAGAGAGAGATAAAGATTCATTAACTCAATAATGAATAACTTACTGCTCACTTCCCAGATACAAGGCACAAAATTTAGTATGCATAGTCTGTGGGGAAAAAAAAGAACCTCTCTGATAGGAGAGACAGGATATCCATAAGTCATCATAAAATGAAGCAGAAAATAAGTGTCAGCAGAGATGTGTAAATTAAGAGCTAAGGGAGTTCAGGGAGGCAAAGCTGCCAAATTTCGTGGCCTAAAACCCTCAAGAGTATCCCACCTTCTTGAGTGTCCATTGTAATCACTACTGTGTATAAACCATGATGTAATCTCAGAAGGTGTCACAGCAAGGAGCAAGATGTTAGAGAAGCTATTAATAATTTAGCTTTCTTGGTCATGAAGTAAGATGAATTGAAGTTTTAAAGTAATTTCTCCCACTTGAAATCCTCTACCATTTTCTGACAAACAATGCTTTTATTTCTGGGGGTTTTTTGTTTTGTTTTGTTTTTGTTTTTGTTTTTGAGATGGAGTCTTGCTGTCATTCAGGCTGGAGTGCAGTGGTGCAATCTCAGTTCACTGCAACCTCCACCTCAGGGTTCAAGTAATTCTCCTGCCTCAGCCTGCTGAGTAGCTGAGACTACAGGCACCCACCACCAGGCCTGCTTAATTTTTGTATTTTTAGTAGAGACGGGTTTCATCATGTTGGCCAGGCTGGTCTTGAACTCCTGGCCTCAGGCAGTTTGCCTGCTTTGGCTTCCCAAAGTGCTGGGATTAACACATGTGAGCCACCCACACCAAGCCCAATGTTTCTCAATTTTCTGAAAATATTTTTAAACTCCAATCCTTAATGAAATCTGTGCCTAGCATAGTACCTTTTGCAGTAGGTACTTAATAAACATACAACTGGGTGTACATTTGAAAATAAGCTCTCTTACATTGTTCTCAGTAGCTCTTCTCTGTTGTCTTCATCATATTAGATCTGTCTTTATATTCTTTCATTAATTTAGTAATTCAACAAACATTTGTGCAGAAGTAGTAGTCTGGGTTGCTGCCTTTATTTCTCTATACATGGGTCTCCAACCACTGGCCAGTACTGGTACCCATCAGTGGCCTATTAGGAACTGGGCCGCATAGCAGGAGGTGAGCAGAGGGTGAGCTAGCTATTACTGCCTGAGCTCCACCTCCGGTCAGAGCAGCAGCAGAATTAGCTTCTCCTAAGAGCACAAATTCTATTGTGAAACCATGCATTTGAGGCCTGTAGGCTGCACACTTCTTATGAGAGTGTAATGCCTGGTGATCTGAGTAGGAATAGTTTCATTCTGAAACCATCACACCCTTTCCCCACCCCATCTGTGGGACAAAATGTCTTCCACAAAATCAGTCTCTGGTGTCCAAAAGGTTGGGGACTGCTGCTATAATTTGGTCAACTGTTTGAATGGTGGTTCCACTCACCAGAATGGAAACCATAGGAGAAGGGAATATTGGGAAGAGAGGATAGATGAGTTTAGTTGGAACACGATGAATTTGAAGTGCCTGTTTGACATTCTAGTGAAGGAATAAAATAAGCAGCTGGATATGTGGGTCTGGAGATCATGAGAAAGACGTAGGCTTTTAAATATAAAAGATGGCTGGGTGCAGTGGCTCAGCCTGTAATCCCAGCACTTTGGGAGGCCAAAGCAGGAGGATCAAAAGGTCAGGAGTTTGAGACCAGCCTGACCAACATGGTGAAACCACGTCTGTAATTTAAAAATACAAAAATTAGTCAGACGTTGTGCCACGCACCTGTAATCTCAGCTACTCAGGAGGCTGAGGCAGGAGAATCGCTTGAACCCGAGAGGCAGAGGTTGCAGTGAGCCAAGATCGTTCCACTGCACTCCAGCCTGAGTGACAGGGTGAGACTCCATCTCGAAAAATAAATAAATAAATAAATAAATAAATAAAAATAATAAATAAATGAATATAAAAGATTTTAGAGCAGTCAAGCACTGTTGGTGGTATTAAAAGCTATGGAAAAGTGATTCTTAATCTGAGGTGTAAGAACTCTTCGGAGGTCTATCAGTTGCTTCAGGAGCTCCATGTAACCCTAACATTATATGCAACATGCCCTTCCCCAAGAAAATTCCTGAATTTTATCACATTCTCCAGGAGGTTCATTCTCCAGAAAAAAAGGCTCAGAATAAGTGTGAAAAGACAAGTTTCAGTGAGAAACACCGGGCATCTCTAACATTTAAAAAGCGGAAGAAGAGTATAAACAAGACCACAAAGTTTGGAAGCAAAACAGGGAAAAGAGTCACAGAAGTCAAAGGAGGAGATATTGTCAAGGAGGGGGTGGCCAACAGTGTCCCATGCTACAGTAAGGTCGAACAAGATAAGGACAGAGTGCCCTATCTTACCTGCACATTCCTCAGGGTAGGTTCTGTTTGCAACAGGCACTCAGTTCATGTTTAAGGTACTAAAAAAGTATGTCCTTTAAATCATTTGACAGGAGTGAAGTTAAAAGGTGAAATCAATAAAATGATATGCTTATGGCAGGTTCAATTAGGTTTGCCTTTACATTAACAAATGAAACACGTGAAATTAGACAGTTGCACTGTATCAGGTTATTTTATGAAGTTGTGTAAATTGGTGAACTGAATCAATCTCTCAAATACTTATATCCAATGTATTCACAGGTAAGTAAGCAGCCACTTCCATGGAATAATTGAAAAGATATCCATCTCCTTATACTTTACTATCCCTCCTACTGCTATATTACAGTGCCTGAAAGACCAATCATTCTAGAAGCAAGGGCTTGTCACCTGGATTAAGTTACCTCGGAGGTGGGCCACATTAGCTGGCTAATATTTGCACAAATATTATTAACCCACTATGATCTTGAATTGTTAGCTCAAGAATAATATAATGCCTTTTTATTTGTGACCTTTTAAGTTAAAAAAGACTTTATAGATATTATATTGTTTAATACTCACAATTCCTCTCAAAGAAGCAAGTAGTCAAAGGAGCCTTTTAAGGGAGGGGAAAAAAAAGCACCTAAGTCTTTTAAGAAGATGGTCTCTGAAATAGATAGATAGATAGATAGCTGAATAGATAGTTAATAAACAGAGGTTTTCAGCATAATAGTACAAATGATAATGATGATGATACTCTTAGTTATGATACAAGCCAAGGTAAGGGAAGAAAAAGGCCCCACAAACAATGGCTTATACAAGATAGAAGGTGTGTTTCTCCCAGACAGTATTCAGAAGCAGGTGAGTGATTCAGACATGACAGGCAACTTTCCTCCACAGCTATCTAGGAATGCAGGTTGCTGTTCTATCCCCAGTAGGCATCTCCATGGTAGACACTGGTTCATCAGCATCACATAAACCTTCCAGCCTGCCTGAAAGTGGAGAGAGAAAGAGGAAGGCAAGCAAGTTCCTTAAAGGAGGATGTGACCTGGAAGTTGAACACGTCTTTGCTCAAATCTTATTGGAAAGTACCCAGTCAATTGGTCACATCTAGTGCAAGGAAGGTTGAGATTTTTATTCTCTAAGTGGTTAGCCATCTGCCTATCTTAAACTCAGGGATTCTATAACTAGAAAGGAGAAGAAGATAACAAATACTGGGAGATGCTTGGCAGTCTCTGTCAAGCCCTTGCTTTGATGTTTTATAGCCATCATTACAGTAATGGTGCAAATATGAAATTTTGATATGTTCACAGATTTCTAAAAAGGTTAACTGTGGAAAATCAGTCTCATTTTAATTTTGATTATATATAGTCTGTCTATTGAATCCCTTAATACTGTAAAGAAATAGTGGGATCTCTTTGGAGAAGTATTTAAAAACCTCACTATTTTGACTGAGTCTTGGGGAAATTTTACAGTTGCAAAGGCAGCCGAGTTTATCTTCATGACTTTCCTTATCCTTTCTCCTCTATAGAAGATGTGTATGTTCTGGAAATTTATGTTGCTGGAAATGCCACAAGGCAGCTTCCCTGGAGAGTACTTGAATCCTGTGGTGATGGGAGACACAGCTAGTAAACAATGAAAGCTCTAATATCATTTAATTGCATTAGCTCCTGGAATAAAAGAATTAAATATAATAGGATTAGCATAAAAATACTAGAGGGCTGTTTTTCATAATTCCACTTTTGGAGAGGTGGAACCTGTTAGAAGTTGATAAGAAAATTTAGTAGTTTGCAACTTTATATAATTTACTTAACATTGGGTTTTGGTGAGAAATCAAAATTATGAGAGTTGTCGCCCAAGGAAGTAAGAATGTATAACAGTTAAACAGAAGTGTTTTTCCATCACTTCCATTCCTCTAGGAAGCTAGGGAACCTGGATTTAACAAGCTGCTTTTTGTGCATTTATGAAGGTCTTTCTTTTCTTTTCTTTTTTTTTCTTCTCTTCTCTTCTCTTCTCTTTTCTTTTCTTTCTTCCCTTCTT